GAGAGATCGGGTGGGCATCCGGAGGTTGCCCGTAGGGGGGGGGCAATGTCAGGGATCCCCTCGGTCTCCGCCGCGATGGTCCCGGTGCAGGCGCAGTGTGCCGCCCTGTGCTGGGACTCGAGCATTAGGTCCGGGCCGGCCGCGGCGTTCGAGTTCGCGCATGCGCAGTAGAAGCCGCGGCCGCCCGCTGGGCACCAATGGCAGCGCAGGGCGGGATATTTAAATGGCCCTGAGCTGTCATTCAGTGCCTTCTGGTCTTACCTGTATCCTGTATCTGCGAACCTGTGAATAGTAAGTTGCTGACCCGGATTGTGCTTGACCTTGCTGTATTTTCTCCTGCCCTGACCCTTGCTTTGCCTGACCTCTCTCTTGAATGCCCCCTATTGGATCTGACCTGCTGTTGCTGACCTGGCGTGTGACCCGACTATTCTCTGCCCGCTGCCTTGTACCATACCGTCCTCCCTGTTACCGACCCGGCTTGTCTGACCCCGCACCTGCTCAGCATCCATCCATCCATCCATCCGTCCATCCCTCCCAGTGGGGTCTCCTGACCTCCTCATATCAGGCTCTTCCCCGCAGGAGCCCTCGGCGAATACCACTACCACTAACGGGTTTGCCCAGTAGCCACGACCTGGTCTCGGGGGGCTCCAAGTCCATCCCCACCATCAGGGGCCCTGGTGAACAAGTCCCCTGGGACTTAGACTCCGTGCTCTGGAAACACCTATTTAGTGGAGTGCTAGTGGTACCGCCGGGCGGTCCCTTACATCCAGTTTCAGGTCAGAGATTAACTTAGTGGTAGCCTTATCTAATTGCCACTGTAATAAATAAGCAAAATCTGCAATGAGTATGGAATCCCCTGAATAGTGTGGGGGTGCAGGAGGAAAGACATGAGAATCCACTAGGCCATCATGTGTGGAATCTTGGCTACCAGTTTGGCTAATAAAGATATCCACCGTTTCCATGTCTGAAGTGCCCCTGAAGTGCCCGGGAGTGTGCGAAGAATATCTGCCTCTACAATTTAAAAAACAATCAGACCACCCCACAACCCTCTGAAAGTGACATAGAACAATTTCTTGCTCAACTAAAACTTTATTATTTAAATGAAACCCACCTACAACAACTAAACACCCCCTTTCCAACTTCAGAAATCCTTCAGGTTAAAACTTTACCCTCTGTGAAATCCCCTGGCCCAGACGGGTTCACCAATGAATATTATAAAACCTTTGGCTCACACTTAACCTCTCATCTTGCTAATCTGTTCACCGCTGCACAACAAGCATCCTTGCCCCAAGAAATGCTCAAAGCGCATATTGTTACACTCCCCAAACCTGGGAAGGATCATAACACACCCTCATATTTTAGACCAATTTCACTATTGAACTGTTGAAAAGCTCTTAGGCTGATGAAAATTATGCCCTCTCTAGTTCAACCTGATCAAACAGGCTTCACTAAGGGGAGTCAAGCATCAGACGTGACAAGATGAATAATCAATATTATAGACTATGCTGAATGCACCCGAAAGCCCTGTCTGCACCTATCTATTGATGCAGAGGAGGGTTCCATAGAGTCCATTAGGGATATATATCACAAGTCCTGAAAAAAATTTGGCATCCAAGACCCAATACTTTTGGGTATGATGGCATTATATTCTTCTCCATCAACCCAGATATACACCTCCAACTTACTATCCAAAACCTTTCACATCACCAATGGTACAAGACAGGGCTGTCCACTGTCACTGCTCATCTTCAACCTCATGATTGAATCATTGGCTGAGACTATTAGGATAAATACTTGTATTACAGGCTTCCTTTTCCAAAATAAGTCTCACATTATCAGCTTGATGACGTGATACTTGTGTTAACGAACCCTCCTGAGTCACTACCACAAGTACACACTATTCTCTCACAGTTCAGCTCCATCTCCTATTATAAGGTAAATTTCACCAAATCTCTTATTTTAAACCTGAGTATTCCCACCTTGGTCCAATCAGCCATAGAAAAAGCTCTCCCTTATACCTGGACCTCCAGGGGATTACCTTAACATCTCCCATTGCCACTCTAGCAGAGGCTAATTTTAAGCCCCTTATAAATAAAATAAGCCTTAAACTTCAGCACATATCAAGCTTTGAACTATCATGAGCAGGCAGGTTAGCCTGCCACAAATTATATATTACTTTAGAACTATCCACCTCAAAACCTCTTATCTAACTTCTCTGATGTCCATTTTTAAAAAATACCTCTGGAAGCAGAAGAGAGCTAGATGCTCTCTAAATCAGTAGGAGGTATGGGATTAGTAGACATTAAAGACTATTACACAGCCACTATACTGGCACAGATCAAAAATTTGTTTCTCCCTTCATCAGAACATTTATGGGTAGGTATAGAAGCAGCAGCTCACAATTTACGACTTCTGCTAAAAGTTGATACTTGGTCAAAAGATACAAACGATCATATCCAGATGGTACCTTACTCCATACAGTATAGCTCATTTTACTCTGGGAGGTTCTCATCTCGGCTGGAGAGGCTGTGGCCAATTGGGTAATTTATTCCACATTTTTTGGACATGAAAAAATGTATGGAGCTTTTTCCGAAGTGTGTTCCGACTCCTCTCCAGTGTCACAGGAGTCCTGACTAACCCCAAACCCAGGGGCGGACTGACAACTCATGGGGCCCCCGGGCATTTAGGTATCATGGGGCCCCTGTGTTCTTGCCCACACTCAAACCACACCCAAAAAAGCCTATGAAAGGTACCAGGGGCTTCTCATGGGGCCCCCTACTGACCCCGGGCCCTCGGGCAGTGCCTGAGTTCCCGAATGGTCAGTCCGCCCCTGCCCAAACCTGATTTAGCAATCTTAAACCTAAGAGTGGATGAGTTTTCTGTTATCTACTGCAAGGTTATTACCTGCATTCTACTAGCCACTCGATTGACTATCACTGGGCCCTGGAGGGGAGACCAGGCACCCAACTTGTCAGAAGTAATCTTTATAACCCAGTCCATATACTCTTTTTGAAAAACTGTTAGCTTTTAGGTCAGACACACTACAATCCTTTGAGAATGCTTTGAAATATTGGAAGATCTGGTGCTTGAATAATAAAACTATGGTTATACCCTGTTCCAGCTCTTGAACTGATGTAGTACTGTGTATGTCTGTTTATAGATAGTTAAACCCACCCTATCATCTGTGGCTGTATCGATACAACAATGCCCTGCGAGGTTAATCCTATTTTCTATATGTTTTTCTTCCTTCTTTCCTTTAGATTTCTCCTTTGCAGTTGCAGAGGTGTTTTGTTCCTGTATATTTACATAATCCTTCAATAAAAATGTATTGAAATTAAAAAGGTAAAGAATTCCTGACTGTGCACCTGCTAAATGAGGCTTGTGCCTGTATTACAATATATGGAAACAAGCTTCACCCGTTCTATACATACCAACCACCGAAAGACAATCATGAATGACACTGACATCCATACACAGGTTCAGGTTATCCATATGATGTGCATATAATGACTTATAAAGATTGTGGAATATTGGAACTTTATGTATGACTGCAAATGTAAAGCTGTCATGTGTAATGAGTTTGGGCAGGTGTCTGCCATTTTATTTCTATTTTTTATGTCTAAAATAAAAAAATAAGCTAAAACCTCCAACTTTGTACCAATTGGCTATTGGCAAAAAAATTTCATTGTATAACTTGTAACTTTTTCATAATACAGTCAATAAAGGTACTTCACCACATTTCCAGCATTAACAGCCATTGGTAATGGATTGCACTAAATTTAATAATCATTTGCACCACTTTTCTTCCTATCTGCAAATTCAGCTTGTTCTTCTTTGAGATACTTTCTCATTTTGGCTCATTGATTTGCAACAAATTCAAAATGAAATAATGACAGTTTGTCTCTTGGAAAACTGAGCGTGATTTAGGCTCCATTCACACCAATGCGTTTTTTAGTGATTTTTGAAGAAATGTCCTACAGTCCATTTAACATGGTTTCCTATGAAACATGCTCACATCTATGCTTTTTTGAGCTACAGCTGCTGAATAACCTCTAACTCTTACTTTAGTCTCCCAGACATGGTGACTAGAAGGGAGTGCCTAACTTAATTAGCAGCTATGACAATATGGGTATTGGGATGTGGTGCTCTGGCACACTTAACAACGTAGTGATTTGTTGCATTAAACGTTGCTACATTAGTAGGTAATGATGTGCTTCAAACAAAGGGCAGCTTTGTCTGTGTCAAAAACAAGTTTATGCTGCTGACCCTAAAATAAAAGGAAATAATTAGCATCTGAAGTTGCTGTTGACAAAAAGGCAGACCCAGAGAAGATTGTTGGGGCTACACATAGTGAACACAGAAGAGGAGTACACAATACTATGTAACCCACTACACTGCAATTCACAGTAATATAGCACAGTGAATACGGGGACAGAAGGATGGAGGACACACTATGAAGCCCACCACACTAAAATTCACTGTATCATAGCACAATACAGCACCCTGTACATAATACAAACAAAAGGCTGTTGGAACCCTGACTTTTATAGGGAGGGGCTCATAAGAAAATCCCATTATTTACCCTTCTAAGCCACCTGATTACAGTTCAAAGGCCAGGAAGTGCATTACTAGCAATCGGTTGCTATATTGGTGAACTGCTGCATCAGTTCACCATTTTCCCAAAGAGCAAACAAATAGCTTTTGGGTTGAACTCAATGTTCAACTGGAACTTGGAGCTTATCTCTAGTAATAACCCTATAGGTGTAGCTGTCAGGGAATATGTGGGGAAGATTTACATTTTTGCCTCTTTTGATGGATTCTTCTCCTTCCCCTCAGCATGTCACAGGTGAATAGATCTGAATGATTTTTTTAACCGCCTCCCGCCCTCCATATAAGGAAACGATGGGCGCAAGGCGGTTCTCTCGTTCTGGGAGAACGTTATATGATGTCCTCCCACTCTAATCCGCGCATGCGTGGCTCCAGGGGCATGCAACGCAGCGATCAGTGGAAAGAGCCGAAGACGGCGGTTCGGTCATGTGATCAGCTGTGTCCAATCACAGCTGATCACATGTAAATAAGGAAATGCCAGTTATCAGCATTTCTCTCCTCATGAGCTGACAGCTCGAGAGGAGAGGAGAGCCGGTAATCGGCATCCCTCAGAGGGGACATATACACTGATCATCAGGGCACTGATGATCAGTGTGCCCTGATGATCAGTGTAGCCCCAGCAGTGCCAGCTGTCAGTGTCCATCAATGCCAGCTGTCAGTGCTCATCAGTGCCACATCAATGCCACATATCAGTGTTTACCAGTGCACATCAATGCCACATATCAGTGCCCATCTGAGTTGCCTTTCAGTGCCACCTATCAGTGCCAGTCAGTGCCACCTATTAGTGCTGTCAATCAGTGCCAGTCAGTGCTGCCTATCAGTGCCACCTAACAGTGTCAGTCAGTGCCGCCTAACAGTGCCAGTCAGTGCCACCTATCAGTGCCAGTCAGTGCCACCTATCAGTGCCACCTATCAGTGCCACCTATCAGTGCCATATATGAGTGCTGGCTTTCATTGCCCATCAGTGATGCCTGTCAATGCCCATCAGTGTAACCTACCAGTGCCTCCTCATCAGTGCCCATCAGTGCCACCTATCAGTGCCCATCAGTGCAGCCTATCAGTGCTCATCCGCGCAGCCTCATTAGCGCACATCAGTGAAGGCGAAAAATCACTTATTTACAAAATTTTATAACAAAAACTAAGAAAAAAACTTTTTTTTTCAAAATTTTCAGTTGTTTTTGTTTTGTTTAGCAAAAAATAAAAAACCCAAAAGAAAGATCAAGATGTCTCAAAACAATGATAACAATTTCATATGGGTACAGTGTTGCATGACCACGCAATTGCCATTCAAAGTGTGACAGCGCTGAAAGCTGAAAACTGACCTGGGCAGGAAGAGGGTATAAGTGCCCTGTAGGCAAGTGGTTACATTTCTTCTGGTTGAATAGGGAAAGATTGTGGGTACTGCATTGAGCTACTGTGGGAGGCACATCACCTTTCAGGTGTCATTAACACTTTGGAATGTAGAAGTTTAAATGTGAGCATTTCAAAAAGCAGTTTAAGCCTCATTCACACCAGCATTGTCAAGCCTGCATTTATATGCCTTTAGAAGACTTAGATGCACATAAATGCAGGAAATTACTTTTCAATGGTGCCATTCACAATGAATGTTTACCTGCATTTAGAAATAAATAAAAATAGAATTCTCCTGCATGCAGGATTTGATTAGCTAAATGCAACTTAACACACAAAAGATATCTAAACACTTCTAAATGCACCTAAACATGGCTAATTCTATTTTAAAGTAATCTGAGAAACATGGAAGTTGTTTATACTCCCCAGGTACCTTCTCCTGTGTTTAGAAAAGATAAACACAGGAGTGCCAGTGTGAATGAGGCCTAAATGTTGGTAAGTGTGGATTCACACATGCGAGGTGCGAATTGAAGCTCAGTTTTAACAGCTAATTGACAAAGTAGTTGTTCAGCTGTTCAGGTCAGGTCTAGATCAGGATCAGGTCAGGATTTTATTCTGTTCACAACTGATGACATGTTCAATTCAGAAGCGTTCCCATAGAAGTCAATGAGCCTGAATTTTCACCTGAGCCGGACCACAGTGCTCAGAAAACTGACAGGACTCTTTTTCAATTTGCACTGAATCAGCACTCAGGTTGCAAGGAATATATTTGAACAGGCACAATAGAAACCAATGTTATTTCAAATGTCATGTGAATTGGATGCAGTTCAAAACACATCCAATTTGCATATATGTGAACTGGCTCTAAAGAAATCTTGCTAATGGGACTGCAGGGTCTGATGCCTTTTGTTTCTCTTCTGTTGTATATTTTGTTGCAAAAACAGAGCTTAGTGTGTCCATTGGATTCTTGTCTACAGGGAATTGCAAACTAGAGAGCTATATTATTTCTCAGGAAAGTACATATGTATTTATACCACAGACAAGCTACTAATATAAAAACTAAATAACATAACACCTTAGGCCCCACTCAATACACAATTTATAACAGTAAGATAATATTAAGCTCTGAGCAAGCTACAGTGTAAAAATGAAAAAAAGAAAACCCTAAATATCTTTCTATTAAAACCAGTACCTCTACATTTCCTTGCTGATATTTATCATTATATTCATAGTTATACCCACATGGAAGAAAATATATTTGAAATATATTTTAAAAATATCCTTCCCAAATATATTGCCATATATTTGAAATACAACATTTCAGGCCATATTCAATATATTTCAAAATATATTTATATATATATATATATATATATATATATATATATATATATATATATATACACTACATGTTGAAATGCATTTTTATTACAAAATATATGAAAAATATTTTTTTAAATACATTTCAAATATACTGTATGTCTTTAAAAGTACAAATCTACATTTTTGGAATGCATTTACAAATATATGTTAAAATTACTTTTTTATATGATTTATAGATTTAAAAAAATCTGCAGAATATAATTTTTAAAAATACATTTAAAACATTTTTATATTCTCCAGATTGTTTTTTAAAAAGTAATTTTAAAATGCTAAAATGCAAATGCATTCCAAACATGTAGATTTGTATTTCTAAAAACATACAGTATATTTGAAATGTATTTTAAAAAATATTTTTCATATATTTTGTAATGAAAAGTCAACATGTTTTTTTTTTGTAGCCTCCCTAGAGGTCTGATTATGTCAGTATTTCTGTGCTCAAAGTGGTACATTTTTGTGCATGGAATTATGTTTTTTATTTATTGCAGGTCTGTAATTTTTAGGAATAACTCACTGAAATCTGTCCGAACGAGAGTCTAGTAAACATCCTGGGTATGTTAAAATTTGAAACACAAAATCATAAATTATAATTTAATAAATAATCATAAAAAATAATAATATAAAAATAATAAATTTAATTCAATAATATGATCAAACCAAAAACACTGAAATTTGACATATAGCGCCAAGTTCGCACATCACTGAGCAAAGTCGCAAAATTGTTTTCAGTGTCCGATGACAAATTTCCCCACGAATCATTATCACTCAATTCTGCAAGTACGGTAGTTCTAATTTACTATCGATGTTCTCTAGCTGGTCTATAACTGCTTTTGACGTAAAGGGACGCTTTTTGGATGCCATGGACATTTCTCAGTTTCCAGGCAGAAAGAACGGTAAAAATGCAGGCAGGGCACAGGACAAAGCACTCGGGACAAAATGTATGTGAAATGGTTTGATGCAGTAATGTTTTACTATGTGATTTTAGTGTATTTAGTGAATGTCACTTTTTCACATTTTTAAATTTCCCGCCGTTCTGTCCCCGTACGTCCCAACGTCGCAGGGAACGAAACCCAGAAGACAGATGCTGGCATCGGCCAGAGGACATTGCCGGGGACACTGCAGGAGGGACATCGCGGGAGTGAAGAAACAAGGAAAGTGAAGAAGAGATCCCAGAGCAACGCTGCAAGGTATTCCCAAGTGTAGCTCGGGGTTACCGCTTGTGGTGCTGAAACTTTATCCCGAGCTACACTCGGGAATACCACCCAGGGAGGTTAATTGAAATATATTGAATATAGCCAAAATTGTAGTATTTCAAATATATGGCAATATATTTGGGAAGAATATTTTTAAAATATATTTCCAATATATTTTTCTTCCATATGGGTAGTACAGATATTGAAGGTTTTATGTACGTATGTGTACCTTAGCTGGCTCAGATCTCAGTTGCTGTCACATTTATACGTAGTAATAATACTATGGCTAAATATTTTGCTTCACTTTGCAGCTGTAGGTTTGTCCGATCAAACACACACTTGTTTGGCCATTCAAACAAGTTTCTCCATAGACTGCACACTGCGAGAAGCCTCGCTTATAGTGTTTGCCTTGCTGATCAAAGTTTTAGTCCATTAACTCTCAGGAAAGAATGTTTTTAAGTTATTTTTTTTTTTCTTTTAGGATCAAATGTTAGGGGATGTTGCATTCAGCCAGCAAAAGGCAAGAATGCAACTATTTCACACTTTTCAAACATTATGGGAAATAGTTGTCGTGCTTGCATTAATACTGAGGCACATGAAAATCAAATTTTTAGGGCTCGTTCACACCATAGTGCAGAGATGTCAGTTTTTCTGTACATATTCTGCAATGGCACGATAAAATCAATTGTTCTCTATGTGCCCTGTTCACGACACGACACTAGTATCATGTGCAGATTTTTTTCTGAGCAGGAATCTGCAAGCATGTGTAAAACTCATTAAAGCATGCATGAAAACTGATGTAAACTAATGTCTCTGCAAGTGAAATCTGTGCATCAGTTTCCATCAGTTTTTCTACACATATGGTTTGAACGAGGCCTTAACAAATTGGTAATAAAAAGGTAAGCCGGCGCCAAGAGAGCCCAGGCGGCCATCTTCAGATGGTCAGTGTTTTTTGGTTTGCCTATACTCTTTGTTTGCACTATACTTGAATAAACATCTCCTGTTTAGAAGGTATCACACTATCTGGCCTCCTTTTTTGGAGCTCCTTGTGAGCTACTAATATCCACAGAGCGGCTGCATCACATATGGCAGTGGATACCAGGCAGTGAGAGGCACCTGACCAAGACCAGACCATTGAGGGATCTTCAGTCCTCTGGAATTGATATTTCCTAATGCGCATTTTGATTGCGTATCTGGTGAGTGCTCAATCTTATCACTTTAATCACCATAGCACCAGACTAGACCACTGGACTTTGAAGATCATCTGGATCTCCTGTGCACTTTTTATTGTGGACTATTGTTTGATTTTCTAGTCTGGCACTTTGCACTTGATTGGTCACTAAACAGTGACAAGATTATCACTTTATGCTGCACTTTATTTCAATTTATTTATATAAGCTGGTTTCATGCGTTTTTATGATGTAGACATGCATCTACCATTGACACGGTTTTTGCACCATTCAGTCACTTGATTTTATTATTCTATCATTTGATATAAGTACTGTTTATTGTCTTTTAGCGCTACACCCTGCTTTTACTATTTATTTGGAGGTTTTATATGGCACCTTTTGGTATTTAGCAGCTTTATTTTGTTATAAGCGCTCGCTTGTCTCTTCAGATTATTCTTAATAAATTGGTCCCTAGAGGAGGCACTGAAAAAGAAAAAAACACAACAACTACCTTTTGGTAGAGATATGTTTCACAAAATGTAAAATGATACATGGTTATCAAAATCAGTATACAGTATATGATATTTGTGTATTTGTTTATTATAAAAAAACTGTTAAGAATAAAATGGGGTACCGTTACCACAGCTACTAAGGCCAATACAATGTGGAGTACACCTCTAAATGTAAAAATGTAAACATTTACTTTCTAAGCAAAATAATATTATGGAACAAATGAATTCTGTAATCCACTATTCACATAATGGTTA